ATATTTCTCCTTGGGAATCTACTTGGCATGTTCCATTTTCTTCTATTATTGTTTACAATAGTTAAACATTTATTAATTAATGTATGAACTTTAGCCCTCATATGTTGTAAGTGAATTCATTTTAATAGTCCTTAGAGTTCCATGCTATGTCGACTATATATATATTATATATATATATGTAGTATATTAATTAGTATATATAAACACTAATTGAAGAACTCCATCTTAAACCCAGGGTTCATTGAAAATTATTGCTGATATTTATTGATGTAAATTTAGTAATATTAACATGTCAAGCTCAGAGCATATAAAATGGCCCTTTTCCTTCTTTTCTAGTCTTTAAAAAAATCTATTTACTAAAGCCTTTTGGCAATTTCATTTAGAAATCCCTTCAGTCCTTGTGTAATCTCCTTTAGTTATAAACTCTCAAGTATACATGTTGACTTAATTAGCTTAGTGAAGACATACTGTTGTCAGCTCCAGGAACTACCCTTGCACACAATGGAGAACAAATCTCGAGTTGATCCTTCAAACACAAGGCTTGCTTTTTTTTTCTATTACTCTTTGCTACATAGTAATTCTCTAAAATTCTGCATTTAAAATGGGAATAAGATACACACAAAAGTTTCAAAAATAAACAAAATGACACAATTGTAGTGAAAAACCCTTTCTAAATAGGGACTGAGAAGTGATGCAGGAAGTTTGGTGACTCTAGTGGGAAAAATGATAATCTTCATGTCTTCTGGTTTGTATAATTTCAATATCCATAATTATGTGTTTCAATTGTATAGTTTCAAATTCTGTTGTCTCTTCAGTTCTGAGGGTTTTGTTTTCTATTTTTCCCTATTAGGGAGACTTACATCTCAATAACTGCTGAGCTCCTTCCTCATCTCTAGTTTAAGTTACATTCGATCTTATTTAGGATCTTCTGAGAATGAAGATTTTCTTGCCTTATAACCTTCTACCTATAGTCATTTTTATAGTTCTTTTTACCCTTAGAACCCTGTAGTGTCTGTGGGATAGGAGAAATGAAATGCAATAGGACAGTCACAGTAGCCATATCACCACTTTTGCAGCTACCAAAGAAGCCATTCTGCACATGCATGTTAGTTAAAAACTTCCCTCTTCCCAGTGAGCTTTGTTCCCATTCCTCTTTTGAGTAAAATAGAACATGATGGTTTCATTCTCCTCTCTCCCTCGCTTCCCTCCTTCCTTCTTTGCTTCTTACCTCCCATTTGCTTTTTTTCTTGTCTTGTTACATGTCAAAGCTGTGATCAGCCTAATATTAAGTATAATATAGCCAAAGCCACCCTCAAACATGTGAGAATCCTCACATACAAAATACTTCTTTTGTTCTACTAGACTTAAAGTGCAGATTCAATCATCAGTATTTTACAAAAGATCCAATCTTTAGGAAGAGAGATATCAACGTTATATAAAGTGCATTTTAGTATACATCGTTATTTTTTTCCTTGAGCGTATGAGCATTTGAATCTTAGTCCTTTTAATTATTTTTTTTTTCTTTTCCCTACCATTGAAATCGTATTATTCTCATCGTAAATACCGTCTCTTTAGCCTATCAGGGAATTTCTCAATAAACCATATTCTTAGAAAGTCCAGGACATCCTTGTCTACGGTTCTCAGCATCCTTCATGGAGCCCTCTCTGATGTACTTAGGCCAAGGAAGTAAGATATATCTCTCTTTGGATAGATTAAGTTCAGCAAATTTGGGAGAGTGCAGATTATAGGACTCCCGCAAGGGGTGTTATTGGGGTCATTATATATCATGGTGCCTTTATTCTAAATTTTTCATTTTGAAACAAATGAAACCTCTGGTCTTTGACATCTCACTTCTGCAAAGCATATCAAATATGAAGATACACAAGCAGCCTAGAATTTGAGAGTACATTCAAAGGTATTTATTTTATTGTAAGAAAGAATAAAATGTTTTGAATTTTCTGCAGTAAGTTATGCTGCAGATGTCAGGAGTTTCAGTTATCAACTTTATGCCTGAATTGCGTTTATTCCTAATTGATCTGTAAATAAAGACTGTCTCTTAATGATACTGTGAGCTCAGACGTTACTTCCAAATACTTACTAAGTGCCTAACAGATAATGAAGATGCAAAGATAAGGAAGGAGACAATACCATCTCTTATTCCTATTTTACTCAAAGAATAGAACCATTCGAAGACAAAATGATAGAGAATTAGGAAGAGGTGGCAGCTAATCCATTACAAGTGGGATACTGAACAGGAGAATTAAGTCAAGAAGATTTTAAACTTTAAAGATTTGAAGAAAAGATGTAAGGATGTAACATCTGAAAAAATTAATAAAAATTTGTCAATAAGATTTCCCAGATCAAAGAGGTATATAGAATGCGATAATTAATTTTCCAAATCAAGTAGGTATATAGAATGTGATATTTAATAAATAAATGGTTTGTCTTTGCTCTCACGTTTTGGGAAATCCATGTCCAACTGTCCAATAGGCCAGGTGTTGCATTGCTTTGGCCAGCAAAGAAAACACAACACTGGACTCTTCTCAATTGCAGTTTAATCAGGAAACCTTGAATAATCTTCTGACTCCAGGGAAAGCCAGCCCACATCTAAAATAGACCCTGGGTAGCCAACTCCAGCAAGTTACGTGGGAAATAAGGATAGGCCCAGGTACACAGAAACAAGCCAGATCCTTAGCTTTAGCCATGTATGGAGTTATTTACAACTGAAAGCACATTCCACCCGGGGGGGGGGGGTGGAGTGTAGAGGTCAGGCCATCTTTAAGGTGCGGCACAAAGCAGCTCACTACAGTCAGGTGAATGGGAGTGACTTGTGTACTGGAGAAGAGAATATGAGACTTACTATGGTGAGTTTAATGTTGATGGTGTTGGAGTGTAAATTAACCAAAAAAAAAAAAAGGTAGGTGCTGGTAGAATGGTAGCCACCTGGCTTCAATCCCAACTCACAACAGAGAGACTACCATGAAAGAACAATATTTAGTAGGGAAGTAAAGAATGAAGAGGTAGCTAGAATGAATTATTAGAAAGAAAGGAACTCAATAAGTAAACACACTTTCAAAAAACAATAAAAAAACCAAACTAAACCCAACCTAGGAAGGCAAATGAAGCCTATTTGTTATGCCTAACTCAAAGTGCAAGGTGGCTACAGTTTTACCAAAACATCATCAGTCATCCCAGAGTAACATTGCCATCTCTGGATGGCTAAGTTTGAGGCTGGTGTTCCTAATATGTGGCAAACACCCTATCTGAAGTAATGGGTACTGTGTGGTCTGAGGATGTAGACATGATGCTACTCTATGACCATGACTACATCTCAGAAGGTGTCTGGGGAGGAAATGCATTTGGTGGACAATGTATATTCTACTTCGAAGAAGACACAATGTTCTCCTATGTTCTGTCATGTAGGCATAAATTAAATTTATAAATACATTTTTATGATAGTCCTCGGATTTAATATTACTTCCTTAATTTCTACATTTCAGAAATTTCTGACTTCATTACAACTGATTATCTGAGAATTATTGGTGATGAGAGATGCTGCAAGTCAGATAGCAGATGGATAAGGGATGAGAAGGAAATATAAGAAAGTATGGAAGACAGATCATAGCTTTGAGAAATATAAGGCGTGAATATAAAGGGGGCATTAAAACTTGAGCACATTTATGGAAAGATAAAGTTAGTAAAAAACAAAAAGACACTTAAGTTGTCTTCAATAAAGGCTGTGAGAAAATTAATGGTCTCAGATGAAGGGATAAATCTTAGCCTGGAAGCAGGAAGGTTTCCCATTCCTTCTGGTATCAGAGACCTATACCGTACTTGAGTCAAGGTGGCCACTGCTAACTAGTAAACATTGCTAGATAATTTTTAGCATAATCTAAAAGGTGAATAAAGACAAAGGTGCGGAAGTTTTTGGTCGATATTAAATTGAGCAAGTTTGCAAGAAAGACAATAAAGAATTTGCGGGCACTGTAGAGAAAAAGTAACGATGCAATCCTGTCTAGAGTAAGTTGTTGAAGAAATGTTTATCTTCTTGTGGAAAGAGACAAGATAGTGTGCAAACAGAGTTAGTGAGCTACTATGGGATCATTGTGGTAATTTGATCTTATACCAGGATCCCAACTCCTAATATCATAAATTAGACAGACATAAGAAGTACAAGGGGCATGTTTGACGTGTTTTGTTTTAGTAACTTGAGGAAGACAAATTTAAATATTTATAAGTCCCTTTGTGCTGGAGACCAGATACTGCCTGATGGGTGGCTAATTTTATTTGAGTCCCATGTTATTTTCTTCTTGGTCTTTTCTACCTGCACGTGACGAAAGTATTGTAACTAAAAAGGAAATAATATAAAGATAAAGGAAGGTCTATTCAAATATCTTCTAACACCAAATGCCATCAACAACACAGTGACAAGAGGTATCTGTAACAATATCTGTTATTGCTGACTCATCAGAAATCCTTATCGTAGAGGGGCGATGTGGATGGATGCCTCAGGCCTTGAACTACTTCTCACATGATCAGGGTGTGGGTAGGAGAGCAGAAACTTACAAAAAAGCATGTAAAATTTATCTTAGGGAATTAAATTAAATCTCTCTCTCTCTCTCTCTTTCTCTCTCTCTCTGTGTGTGTGTGTGTGTGTGTGTGTGTGTGTGTGTGTGTTGGGGAGTGGGTACTTACTGGAGAATGTTTTAACAAACTTTCAGCATATTTGAAATCTTTTTCTGATAAACCAAGTAAGAAGAGAGGTGTGACGGTATTTCAGATCTGAGAGAGGGATGGTTATGGCAGAGGTAAAATTGAGGGTGCTGAGCTTCTACAGTAGAATGGATTAGAATTTTCTACAGTATAGGACAGGGAATCGAAACTAAGAGGCTGGGGGACACGCACCACATATGCCGTAGGCTTTGAGTTTCTCTTTTACAGCCCTTTCTCTGGCACCATGTGTACAGTATATAGTAAATAAATACTCATGATAGACTACATTTCAGAAAAGAAGTGTTGCTTTTATTATCAATTGTGTGAGCATGCAACATTGCTAAATACAAAAGTCATAGAAGCTCACAAATGACTTCCAAGGCTGCCATTCTTCAGTCAAAGAACAATGCCGGGCTTCTAAGACATCATCAATTATGGATCCTTTATTCTTTTTTCATTTAACACATTTTCTCCTTACTACCGCAGGTTTAACTCAGAAGCCTGCTGCCCATCGGTTACATCTTTTTTCTTGTGTTACTTCTCTGTGAAGAAATAGAAATGCCATTCATTTTCTAAAATGGTGCCTTGCTGCCACGTCCAAGAAAGGCTCAGTGGTAGGGCAACAGTGGAGAACTGTGTTAGGATTTCTGGAAAAAATGAATGTCATGATTCGTTTTACAGAGCGAGAACACTTTTGTGAACTCGGGATGAGCAAGCATTGACATAGAATGCTCTCAGTTGAGAACAGGTAAATTCAACAACTTCTCACTCGTTAATGTATCAAAACCCAAAATCTTTGTTTCTTGGTAATTCAATAAAAAAAAACATAGAATGTCGATACACGTTCATAACATAAACCTATGTAAATTTTTGACTCATATGCCAGGAGTAAACTCTCAAAATAAGCCCTAATTGAATATTTAAGGAAAACCTAAAACAAAAGAAAAGGTGGGCTTAGCCACATGTGCCATTCATCCACCTGCAATTCCCAAGAGAGACAAGTCCCTTCTGGAACTCACTGTCCTTTTCTGTCAAACACAGCTGAATGAGGGCATCACTGACCTTTTCCACACAGAGAAATATGCTGTGCAATTAGCTTTAATTTTGTGACATGTGGAACCAAAATTCTGTTGATAGATAAACATGGGCTCAAAATAGCTTTCTAGTCTTGCAAAAATTCGTCCTTATTCATGTTCACGTCCCAATGTGTGAAAAGGGGGAAAGATTAAACTCTAAGTGGTGCATTTGAATTGTTGAAAGAAAGGGTTTCGAAGTGACTCAGTTGGAGTAGTTAACAATCACTTGTTTGGGTTGCCTACTCTTCCATCTGTCGTTACAGATTCATTCCCTATGTATTATTACTTACTTGCAAGTAACAGATATTAAATGAAAATTTGAAGATTTTATGCACTTTTGCCAAGAAAATTGATACAGTGTGGGAGCCTGAGAATGTTAATTTTTTTTTCCTTCCCAGCTTGAGAATATCTCTGGGTTTAAATACAGTATACAAAGTAGTAGTAAGAGGCCAAACAAAATCAAAAGCTCCATATGACTTCTCCATTTAGCACTTCTTATCTATTTGAAGACAAGCATGGCACCACATGCATTAATAATAATATATCACACAGGTATATAAACCTTCCACAAAGACTCAGCACTGCTTTTAAATTTTACAAAACGCACGTGAAATCAGTTTGGAATTCCACAACGTTAAGAATGAACTTTATATTCACAAGAGAGCTATAAGGATAATTAAACAAGGACGTTGAAAACTGTTGAATGTTTTAGGTAGATTATCAAAGATTGTCTAAACAGGCCTGGAAGCTTCTGCTCACATGTTTGAGTTTATCACTAAGTAGGTTTATTTCACTCCTAACTAGCCTCCAAGGAGTTAGATCAAAGCAAGGACTCCCATACTTAATCTATTTGCTGTTCTATATCCAGAAAGACATACTTAACATTTCTTGTGTTTCTGGAAAACATTCAGTTGGGAACTAAAGAGACTCATCTACTCCCCGTCTGTAAAAATGCACCGTACAGGAAGATGTGAGCAGGCATAGGACCTTCCACCTTGTGAGTGACTCCAGGCTGACTACAGCTCCTGTCAGCCCCACAGACTGCCTGTTGATGCACTGCTCTCTACTCAATCCGGAGCTGTAGTTATGCCCTCCAGCGCACTTAGGGGATCGTTTGTTGCAAAGGCTTCCTGTCATCTGTTATTTGTCCCACAATTCATGAGCCCTGGGCATCTTACTGAATCCTTATTTATTATCATAGACAGTTGACTTCATAATACTGACCAGAAGGATTACACAGGTCACAGAAATTTTCCATACAAGAGTCACGATGTCAAAACACACCATAGGCCATCAACAGCATCAGTAAAAGTGTGGTTAGGTGATAATTATTGTATCAGAATGCAGTTCACACTAATTATTAGTAAAAGTTTACAAACATTAAAAAGTGCATCTGGATATGAAAGGGCTGAAAAAGGACATGGTAGGACACAGCACAAGGGCTTCACATCTAGGACTGATACGCAAGGATCGGGTAGAGAGTATCTTCCTCACAAGCCAGCCTCCAGATTAAACAGTGGCATACATCAGCATGAGAAAACTGACACACAGAGCACGGTCTTTCCAGTTCTTAGTATTATCTGGCTTTCTTCTTCTACTTTCTCAATTTCTAAAATTCTTATGAAAACTCAAAATATCAGCTGAAAGAACATCTTATTTAGAAATAAAATCAATATTGATAGAATTCTTGTCTGTGCAGAGACTGAGAAGACTGAACTCAGGCAATATTCACATTAATGGATATTTCCAAATGCCTGTATAATAAGCAAAGGGGTCTTGGTGAGTCTGGTGGATTTAGTCGTCAGCACACAGTTATCATGGGGAAAACAGTGTTTACAAAAGTATGTTCTTCCCCGTGCATGCCACAACACTATGGAAAATTAAAAAGGCAGCCCTTTAAAAAATGAGTGGTATAAAAATTCACAGTAGTGTACATCATTTGTTTTACATAAGCAGTCAAAGGGCAGTGCTGAGCAGGCATACTGTACGATACAAAACGGTGTAAATAACACAGCACTAACACACAGGGACACAATGCTAACAGTGCTCTCTGGATGGTTCTTTTACTTACTGGGTGAATACTCCAACCAGAGATATTTAAACTCTGGGGTTCAGCCAACCCTTTTCAATTAGACACAATTAAATCCTCTGACATCATGAGGGGCCAGATGCTACAGGAATCATCAGCGAGGTTGGTGCTACTCTCTACAAGCATTTCATTATACGGTCAAGTGAAAAGACCCATACAAAAAACGATATCCAAGCACAGGCCAGGTGATTTCAACCATTGCTAATGACAGAGGTAGGGAAACGGCTGTCTGCAGACACAGGCTCCGCCCCCACTTTTAACATGGCAGCGAACAGCTTCTGGCCACACAGCGCAGCCATGTTCTTCCCCTCTCTTTCACTTGTGGCAGCAAATTCATCCGAGCAATGCCAGGAGATTCGCCACATTGTCACGCGTTGTTGACGGTCAGAACGGAGTGTTGTTAGCTTTCAGATTTGGCGGCTTCTCCTTGGGCTTCCCCACTTTGTTCTGTGGAGCTTCTCTGTCCATTGTCTTCACCTTCTGCAAAAGATAAAGAAAACAGGGAAGCTTGTGTTTACTGACTCTTAGCGTATCGTGTTGCAGACGTCAGACCTAATCACGAAGTCTGAGCAGGTTATAGAGACAAGAGCGTTTTCTTGGTAGTGCACGATCAAGAAAATAGTGTGAGCATTCAGAACCTGGTACTTTCTGCGACACTGGCACAATAGTCAGAAAAAAATAAACACTCAGTAGTCAATGATCGGCTGTGCTTTTGATAAAGGAGACCTCATGGGCAAGCTGATCATTCTCAAATGTGCTTTTACAATCTATAGAAACCAGACCAGGGATTGCGTCCTGATCCTCTAAGTTGAAGAAATATTTAAAATTTACCTTTGCCATTACTTATGAAGCTTTAGGATTATCCACCCGGTTTCTCAAAAGTTTTATTAACTGAAAATTTATAGTAACAATAGAAGACAGAAGGATTTTTGTTGTTGTTGTTAATTGGTTGGTTTGTCTCTTGACAAAGAGTTTACTGATCTCTGATCTGTCAAAGGAAGGGAGTCAGATCCAGACAGATGACAGAGAGGAGAATGTTGAATGATGAAAGTGACTGCATAAATAGAGAATGAGGACCTGCTATTCCTATGAGGGGGGGTGGGCATCCCGTGTCTGAAGATATTGCTCAGGATTTAACATTACACTGCAAACAGACATTGTGAAATGATTCTTATTAACTTATCAGGAGCAATGATATTGCTAAATATTTATTATAAGAAAATAGAGACAGAACTGATGGACGTCCTCCAAATCCTCAGAGGTATTAAAGTTGCTGTTATGAATGTCAAATTTTATAGCTTAGAATTTCATGTTGATAATTCGCATTTCTTTTTTGCATGAAGAATGGTAAAGACAGGGCTGTTAACAGTTTGCCTATTTTGAGACTTAATGATTTGAAGAGAAACTAAAAAATTTGCAAGGGCTTAGATAATTAGAAATAGAATGCAGAGTTGTTTAGAAAAGAAGATATGCTATGACCAACAATATATTTGAATATTTTTCAAATTATATAATTATAATGTATTTAGTGTAGATTTACATTTTACTTTTTGTATTTATGAACATAAATCTCACTATTATTAAAATTACTTGTATTAATTTAGTATGTTATCCTGCATTAAAAAAGTCTTGAAGCTAGCAATTCTCAATGACAAGCAAAACAGAAGAAAATACTCCTTGGGTCAAAAGTCTTGATATTAAGGCTTCTTGAAATTCATGCAGTCATTTAAAATTGAATGTTTATGTAAAAACTAAAATACTATGAAAAGAAATTGGCAAAATTCTAAACCACAGAAAATATATATTTACTCATTTTATGACAGTAAAATGAAATAATGCCCTATAGTCTAACTCCAATTTGCTTTGGGAGTTAAGTACATACAATAATGGCAAGGTAGCAATGGACCCTATAATATGCATGTCCATGCAACCAAAGCCGTGATGTCAACATTTGTCATTAATTGAAAATTGAAAGGGTGTCTATGATATACTGACCTTTAGCAATCGAATGACATTCTTCCTTTTTCAAATCACATCATAACTTTACACATTTCCCAACAATCTGAAAGCTTTCACACATATATTCTTAGAGTCAAGGCATACTGAATGTTACAGAATCAGAAATTGCAGGTTCGTTTTATGTATACAACACTGTGGATCTTTGCTTGTGAATTACTTTCATATTTAGTGATTATTTTGTGCAAATCTTTTTAATGAATTTAAAGAAGCTATGGATGGAGGAGCATTTAAAGAACTTACTTTAATACTCAGAATTAAGGCTATCAAATATTTTCTTGCACTAAAATATATTTTTCTCTTTCACCAGTAAAGTCAGGTGACTTGGATAAATACTAAAGCACAGTTTTTCTCCACAAAACCATTCAATCATGGAAATTTAAATATCATTTTATGTAAGAATCACTACCATAACAAACATTTTATTTCCATTCTCAATAAAAATGGTTCTAGGGCACCTCTTTTGGAATGGTTCTTTGAATTAAGGTCTGCCTGACTAGATTGAGAATCTTTTTAAGTATGTTTGAAATGTAGGAGATCACCAGTGTTATCCATGGCAGGAGTCATAGCCATTTAAGTGTCTCCATAAGGAATTTCAAAGCTTTTGTAGATATTAATTTATTTCAATCAAGTGTTTTAATTTTTGAATGTGGTAGGGAATCCTTCCATGAGAAGTCACTGAAGAAAGGAGAGATTAAGGAGATGATCAGACATTCATCTTGTCTGAAATGTTCTGAACTGTGTCATCTGACTTCAAAAGAAGAGGTTTTTTTTTTGCTTTTAGTTATGGTTTTATTTTATTATTACTATCACCACCACCACCATCATCATCACCATCATCATCATCATCATCACCATCATCATCATCATCATCATCACCATCATCATCACCACCATCATCATCATCATCATCACCATCATCACCACCACCACCACCATCACCACTATTGTGTGTGTGTCCTTATCTCATGTAGGGAAATGCCAGATCATTCCATGTTCCTAAAGAGGTGTACACTGAGTGACTCACCTGTCTTGTTGATATCAAGGCCTGCTAATTTCAAGGCTAATTCATTGCTGTTGCCACTTGCAGAGGAAACCAGGATATCATGTATTGCATTTCTTCTACCTGTTCTTCCTGAAGCAATAAAATCTGCATATGTAGTTTCCACATCAGTCATTGCTAACAAATATCCACATAGCAGGGGCTACAAAGGAAAAAGGGAAAATTAACAGGTGAATGTAATGATAATCAGTGGTGAGCATTTAACAGAAAAACATTACTATTAAATGAGTAGCTTACAAAATGAATGAGAAACAATTGTTTAGGTTTTGATTCTTTTCTGAAACAGTTACATAAAACCACAAGAAGGACCAGCATGGCAGAAACACCTTAAGAGTGTAATAATGACATATGCCTTGGCAGTAAACCGACACCTCTCTGACTGCCACGTTATTAAACCAAAATCATCCTTAACTACATTATAAATGTTTACACTTATACTCACAGATATATAAATGTAGTTCTCACATCATATCAGGGAAACTTCCTTTTGCAAGAAATGGATACCACTACAGAAAACCAAAACCAATCACAAAGCAAAGCCCCTGAATTTCTAATACCAATTGGTCATCCATAAAAACATACACATGCAACATATTTAACTATAATTAGCTGTTTGCTGTCCTCCTTTCTCCAAATCAAAAGGGTAGGAGACCAGCGTGTTCTATGACAGGGAGTTCTAAACACTTTGTGTCTGGGAAAATGGAGCTATTCTCTTTCCCAGGGAGCTGTTTTAGCAAGTTTAAGTAGCATATAACAATTAACCAATATAATATCTATCACAGACACGTAAGTCGCAGTCCATGTTACTATTGGAGGTGGTGGAACCTTTTGAATGTGAGGTCTAATAAAATAGAGTTAGATCATAGAAAGCATAGCCTTGAAGGAAGTCTTAGGACCCTGGGTCCTACGTTTCCTCTTTTTTTACCTTTCCAGCTACAACAAGGTGTATGCCCTCTTATGTGATATGGAACTACTTTGATGCTTTGCTACATCTTCAAAGCATCAGAACCTATAATCTGAAAACAATGAAAGCATGGGCCAACTTTATCAGTTGTCTATGCCACTCATTTTCTCCCATCAAAGTTACTAGGCTGTGGCTGTTGTTCTACTGTTCTGTCATGGAGTGAATTACAGAGAAGCTTTAACCATCTTGCTCTTAATTACTAATTAGTAAAGAAGTGTAGTAGATAATGTGATAATTAATGGGCTCCAAATAAATGAATGGTTACAACAGTACTCAAGACTTCCTCATTTCTGAAATCCTGGATTTGGAAATTACCTTCTTTGACTATTACCACCTTTTCCTGCCCTTTCCTCTCAATTCTTCACATGTAGCCATTTAATTCCTTCAATACCTTTAACTTCAGTCTCACTAGGTGCGGAGCCTTGTGAATCAGTTACCAACGGCTCATGTCTCTTCATCTAAGCATTAGGAAGTTCCTTTGGTCTATTGTGATCATTGCCTTCCTACCTATGTTTCATGCTGAGAAAACAGCCCAGCACACTTTCTTTGATCTCACTACCAGGTGGCTGTTACCAGGAAAAGTACAAAATTGTGCCAATTGGCTCAACTAGACATTTCTGACTATTATTAGTCTGTAGGCAGAGTTGCACAGATTCTCTTATTCACCTCTAGGTGACTTTTCCTTGTGGTCTGATCCATGGGAACTATTCCTAGCCCTTTCCAGTCTATCAGACACTGTTTGTTTTCAGTGATGGCTCCATCAGGATGCAGGGCTTTGGGTGTATGTTTTATCAAAGTTTGTCTCCTAAACAGTATCTTTCTGTATTGTCTTTACTTGTGAATTGTTTTCTTTTCTTTTCTTTCTTTCTTTCTTTCTTTCTTTCTTTCT